GCAAAAGTAAATTTTGATTCACTCATAGACCAAAAACTGCATTAACTTCTGCATGCTCTGACATGGAGACAGAAGTTACGTGAAAGAAACAGGCTGCAGAACGGTATGTAAAACGTGACCATTTTTGTTGAAAACCTGTTTCAAATGTACCGATGTGTGGAGGAAAGGCCAAGAAAGACACACATTACTTTAAAATTTTTTAATGTTTATTTATTTTTGACAGTGAGAGAGACAGAGCATGAGCAGGGGAGGGGCAGAGACAGAGGGAGACACAGAAGCCGAAGCAGGCTCCAGGCTCTGAGCTGTCAGCACAGAGCCCGACGCAGGGCTCGAACTCACGGACTGTGAGATCATGACCTGAGCCGAAGTCGGACGCTCAACCAACTGAGCCACCCAGGAGCCCCAATACACATTACTTTCAAATAAATTGTTGCTTCTTTTTTTAATTAAAAAAAATTTTTTTTAATGTTTATTTATTGTTGACAGAGAGAGAGAGAGTGCATGAGCAGGGGAGGACAGAGAGAAAGGGAATCAGAATTTGAAGCAGGTTCCAGAGCCCGACTCAGTTTGAGCCCGGCTCAAACTCACGATCATGACCTGAGCTAATGGCAAACAGCTTAACCTACTGAGCCACCCAGGTGCCCCGTTCAATTCCTGTTGCTTAAAGCAAACTAATTTATTTTGCTTCTCAACTCCTTGGATGAGATTACACTCCCTAAAACCATGGGGTTTTGACAGGAGGCCCACAGTATGAAACAGGAGTTCATCTTGAAAAAGTTTATTTCTCTTTTAAAATTTATGTAAGGTAGCCTAATCTTTATGAATTTTAGACCCAGTAATAGGAAGTTTTGCAAGGTGTGTATGGGTGGGGGGGGGAGGGGCAGGGAGAAAGAGCCAACCACCATAAACAGGTCTGGCCAGGGAAGGGAAATCAGGTTAGGGCTGATCCAGCAGCATTCGCCTGTAAACTGGTGTGATATGGTAGCCTTCCCCCTCAGAATTTGCCTGAAACATGCATAATCATGACACCCTCGTAAGGTAGATGTGTCTGGGTTAAGTGAAGCGATTACTTTCACCAATGAGTCAAGTACCCACTAATGTGCCTGGGGCACCACCCTGGATGGGATGTGGGGAAAGTGCAGACTTGGCAGGTGTTCAGGGAACATTAGTTTCTCCATATTTATCTCTAATGGCTCAAATGGTTAGCAGGGCAACTAGGTGTGTGGGAGAACAAGACGTAGAAAAATGGTCACCTAAAGCCTAAGTCACTAACAGTTCCCAGTCCCTACTGTGTGCAAGGTGGGGGAGAGCTCGCGAACGAGGCTTATGTCCTGCACTACAGTTCGGACTAGGGACCTCTAGGTGCCCCATATGTGTATCACACAAGCCTATTAAATACTGGCCCCATTTACAGATGAAAATAGTCATAAATAGCTTCTGAGCGGGGCGCCTGGGTGGCGCAGTCGGTTAAGCGTCCGACT